GAAGAAGGGAGGGGGCAAGGGATAGTGGTGGGGGGAGGCAGAGATAAATGTATTTAATAAATAAATAAATAAATAAATAAAATTTTAAAAAAAGATTCTAATGACATATTTCACAGAACTAGAACAAATATTTCAAAAATTTATATGGAACCACAAAAGGCCCTGCATAGCAACAGTAATCCTATGAAAGGACAAAGTTGAAGGAATCACTCTACCTACTCTCAAACTCCATTACAAGGTCATAGTGATCAAAACAGCCTGGTCTGGTGCTTGCATTAAAATGGACACATAGATCAATGGAACAGAACAAAAGGCCCAGAAATAAACCCACACCTTTATAGTCAATTAATATTTGACAGAGGAAGCAGACATACACAAAGGGCTAAGATGGTTTATTCAATAAATGGTGTTGGGAAAATTGGACAGATACATACAGAAAAATGAAACTATATGACCTTCTTACATCACACACAAGAATAAATTCAAAATGGATCAAAGACTTAAGTGTAGGACCTGAAGCCATAAAAAATCCTAGGAGAAAACATAGGCAGCAAAATCTTGGACATTGCTTGTAACAATTTTTTATCAGACATATCTCCCCAGGCAAGGGAAACATAAGAAAAAATAAACAAATGGGACTACATAAAATAGTTTTTGCACAGCAAAGGAAATCAACAACAAAATAAAAAGACAACCCACAGAATGGGAGGCCATATTCACCAATATATCTGATAAAGGGTTAATATCCGAAGTTTATAAAGAACTTACAAAACTCAATACCAAAAAATTCCCCCACAAACAGCTCAATTGAAAAATGAGCAAAGGATCTGAATGATACTTCTTCAAAAAGGACATACAGATGGCTAGAAAACATATAAAAAGATGCTCAACATCACTAATTATCAGAGAAATGCAAATTAAAACCACAATGAGATATCATCTCACACCTTTCAGAATAGCTATCATCAATAAATCAACAAACAATAAGTGCTGGAAAGGAAGTGGAGAAAGGAGAAGAACCCTTTTGCACTGTTGGTGGGAATGTAGACTGGTGCAACTACTGTGGAAAGCAGTATGGTGATACCTCAAAAAATTAAAAATGGATCTGCTTTTTGACCCAGTGATCCCACTTTAGGGAATATATCTAAAGGAACCCAAAACATTAATTTAAAAGAACATAAGCAGCCCTATGTTCACTGAAGCATTATTTACAACCAGTAAGATATGGAAGCAGCCCAAGTGTCCATCAGTAGATGAGTCAGTAAAACAACTATGGGACATTTACCCAATGGAATACTACTCAGCCATAAAAAAAGAAAATTTTACCCTTTGTGACAGTATAGATGAACCTGGAGAAATTATACTAAGTGAAATAAGCCATTCACAGAAAAACGAATACCATATGATTTCACTAATATGTGGAATCTAATGAACAAACTGAACTAACAAAGATAATGGGGACAAACTCAGATGGAGAACAGGATGACAGCTAAGGTGGTGGGGAGGGTTAGGGGTGGAGGGATTGAGCAAAAAGGAAAAAGGATTCATGGACAACAGTGTGATGACTGAGCTGGGGGAGGTGGGTATAAGGGGTCTAAATTGTAACGGCAAAAAAAAAACAATAAAGATTTTTTAAAAAGAAAAAAGATTAACCAGCCTGTAAAAGGTTTGGATATGCTTTATACAATAATTACATTTGAAATAATCTATCCTAAGAAAACAATATGAAAGAAGGCAAATAAGTATACACAAAGATTCAAATTTCAACATTATTAAAAGTAGTACAAGTGGCCCGGACCAAAGTGGCTCAGTTTGTTAGGCATTGTCCCACAAAGCGAAAAGTAGTCAGTTTGATTCCCAGTCAGAGCACATGCCTGGGTTGTGGGTTCAGTCTCCGGTTGGGGCATGTTCAACAGGCAACTGATAGATGTTTCTCTGTCACGTTGATGTTTCTCTCCCTGTCTCTCTCCCTACCTTCTCCTCTCTCTAAAAATAATAAATAAAATCTTCTTTAAAAAATAGTACAGAGGAAGCAGAACCCAACTGCCAGTAGTTGGACAATGGTTACATCAATTCTGCTCTTATTCCCTCAGTCACCCATTCTTCCCACTTCAGAGACATTGCCTCTGAAGCACCTGTCCCATCCACATAACTCTTCAGGTTACAGTTCCTCAAACACTATGTCCCTTGCTTTGGCAACATCTGTCACAATTTATAATTGTGTATTTTTTTGTCCTTTTTTAAAGTATATTTTTACTATGACTCAAACCTTTCCTTTTTCATTTGTTATTCATCCATGCAGCTGTAAGCCATTCAACCTCTTTGAGCCTAAGTTTCTTTCATAACATTTAGATCATAGAATAGCTACTTGGCAATGTGGTTGAAAGGTTTAGAGACATAGTATATTTTAATTACCTTGCATAGAATGTAAGTAGGTGCTTAATAGGAGGTTCTTATTCTTGTGATTATTTTGTGCTCCTCTAAAACTATATTGCCTAAAGTCAACAGCGATCTAATTATGAAATTCTATGGGTCCTTCTCTTCCTTTATTTCAGCTTCTATTACATTTGATACTATTCAACATCTTAAAATTCTCTTTTTTTTCTCCTTTCCTAGTGTTCTTCCTACTCCCTTGGTTATTCCTTTTCAGACTGTTTTGCTCGCTCTCTTTCTTTGCCGACTGCTTAAATATTGGTGTTTCCCAATTTTCATAGGTTTTTAAATTTTTCATTTTTTCTTTTATATCATCATTTTTATTTTTCAATTACAGTTGACATACATTATTACATTACTTTCAGGTGTACACAACAGTGATATTTTTGTACTTATTTTTATTCTCAATTTCACCTATGAGACCAGCAGTCCCAAACCTTTTTGGTACCAGGAACTAGGGTGGGGGGATGGTTTCAGGATGATTCAAGTGTATTACATTCAAGGTCACCTCCTGCTGTGTGGCCTGGTTCCTAACAGGCCTGGACCAGTATCGGTCCATGGCCCAGAGGTTGGGGACCCCTGCATTAAACTATAAGCTCCATGAAGGCAGGACTCTGTTTTGTTCACTGCTGCAATCCTCAATTTACAACTTCCTCACAAAATAAGTACCAAAATTTGTTGAATAATGAACAAACAATATTATGCTGCAATTAAATATTTATGAAACACTGATGACATAGAAAATGCATACAATATGATATTTATAGGAAAAAGCACCAAAATTCACATTAGTGTTATTTTAGCTACTGAAAAATGCATTGAAAAAGACACTGTGTAAGAAAAAAATCTATAATAGTAACTCTGGATGGGTGCTAAAATATAAGTAGTATTACTTTCTTCTTTCCATTTTTCTATATTCAAAAAAATTTTTTGAATAAGTACTATTTCTATTTAAAAAATACACCAAACCTAAAGGAAACATGCAAGCAAAAGAATGGAGATAAAAACAAAGGGGTACAGAAAACATCAGGAGGTGAGGTGGGCCAGCCACTGTAGAGCAGAGTGACAGGGCTAGGAGAGATGGCAGGGCCATTTCGTGTTCAAGATTTGTGAACAGATTAAAAAAAAGAGTGATATGGTCAGCATGGTCTTATAGGAAGAGCTCTCTGACAAACTGCGGCCCACAGGCCACATCCAGCCCACTGTTTTTGTATGTTGATCTGTATTGGCACACAGCTGCAACATCCACTCTCATCTTGCCTGTGGCTGCTTCCATGCTAAATAGTTACAACACAGACCATCATAGCCCAGAAAGCCTAAAATATTGACTATCTGGACCCTTAAGATAAATGTCTCCAAATCCTGGTCTCCAGGATGTTCTAGAGAAGGGAAGAAACTACAAGAAGTGAGGAGACGATTACATGGGCCATCACTTTGTTACTGTAGGTGGTTAACTAGATATTAATAAAGAGAACAAAGGGAATTAGACATTAGGCTTAATAAACTGGGGAGCATAAGCTTGTTTGCTTCACTAGGAAGCTACAGCTTCACACTCCAGGGGATTACAAAATTCTTTTCGAGGGCATTCTGTGACCTATGATAATGAGCAGAAGCACAATCAGTGAACCTCACATCCCAGGATGAGGACTTCCTCTGCTCAGGAGACCAAGGCACCTGCAATGACCCCTTGGGCTGCTCTGAGTTGCTCCATCCCCAATCACTTACCTTCTACCCAATGGGATTAACACCCATCTCTTCTCCCCTCCAGTACCAGATTCTTGGGGGTTGCAGGGGGAGGTGCTTGACCATAGAGGTCTGTCAGTCTAACCAGGGGATGAACCTATCAAAAAGCCCACAAAAGCTCAGGGAATCCATCAGCTATTTTGAATTTGCACCCAGTCCATCCCAAACCCAAGCTAATACAATCCCAGGGGAAGAAAGAGCGCTCTCTCTCCCCCCTCCCCCTTTCTCTCTTGCTTCTGACCAGCACTCATCCCACGTACCAATGCATCCTCTCTCTAAGCCATGTGGCCTTACCAGCTACATGGCCAGTGGCCTCATGGACTCCACACATGAGTTCCAAGCGGGAGCCTGAACACCTCAGCACAGCAAAGAGCTGCAGCTGGGAATGCAGTCTAAGCTAATCGGATGATGAGAAGGACTGGACTGAAGTAGTCTTGGCATGGCACATGATCTCTGGACATTGACCCTAATTCTGGCCCTGATTTTCCTTGGTGGGAGGGACATAGATGGGACAATGAATGAGGTATCTTTTTTATTTTGCTTCCCAAATAAATTTTACCACTATACTGCACCCTCCCTTGTGGGTCCCTGAAAATGTTTTTTCTCACAACACTGCAAGAACCCCACTTCCACCAGCAACAATTTTAAAGGTGACATGAAGGGTGACCATTGCAGATAGCTAAGTCTTGGTAAATGTCACAGGAAAGAAGAGGAAAAGGCTCTTAAGGGGTGAGAGGCATTCATGCTTCAGACAGTTACCACATTTTATATGAATACTATTTAGAAGTGCAGTAGGAAAAAGCAGTCATTGTTGGATCAGTTACCTGTAGGATCGGAATTGTAGAGACTGGCAGCTGTAGCTATGGGTCCCGGTGTGTGGATGGCACTTGCTGAAGACCTCTGACTTGCGATCAGGATCCTGCTCTTTGCAGATGGTAAACGGGACATTGCACCCAATCCCAACTGGGGCTTAAGGAGCATGGCTGAGCGGTAGAAAGTGGAAGGAACTTCATAGTGTGCATAGGTAGGAGGGCAAAATTCTTCTTTTCCAGGGCATTCTGTGACCTATGATAAATGAGCAGAAGCTCAATCAGTGAACCTCACATCCCAGGATGAGGACTTCACCTGCTCAGGAGACCAAGGCACCAGCAATGACCCCTTGGGCTGCTCTGAGTTGCTCCATCCCTGATCACTTACCTTCTTAGGCCCTTGTGCCTTCATCTCTGAGTTGCTAACGCACCTGGATGACCTCTCAGGTCTCCCCAGTTCTGATACTCTACAGCTGTACATTTCACTGGGAGCAAAAAAAAATCTCACTTGGTAAGGTTTTTTAATTTGATTGCTACAAAACACTGGTATTTGTGTAAGTAGCAAATCTATAAGTAAATAATGCCAATGAAGCAAGGAAGGAATTTGCAACTGTTCATAGAATTATGAAATTTTCATTATTCCTAAGGAGAAAGGGCACATTTTCTATGGTAATATAGCCATATAATAAGTAAATGAACTTTATCAATTTATGTTAAGCCTTTCTTCTAGGCTACTTAGGAAACAAAATATGCACTGTTAATGAGGGAAAAGAGACTATTTGAAAGAACAGAGAAGTTAATAGAAAAAAAAAGTCTTCTCAGGCCTCTACAGTCTATTTACATCATTCAAAATGAGAAACTGATCCACCTCTTCTAATTGCCTTCCCTAGTAAGGTGGTGCTGCCAAGGACGTCTGAGAAAGTCTCAGCAGAGTGGACGTGCCAGCACAGAGTCTCCCTGGCGGCCGAATTTACAGTACCTAGAACAGTATCTACACATGGCTGAAGTCAATAGTGGTTAATAAATAAGAAAAACCATGTTTCCATTCTTTTCTAAGTTTAGTAACATAAAATTCCTATTACTTTTTCCTATAGTTAACAATTTAGACTAGAATACAACTATGGCTACCTTTCATATATAAAATTCTGGATTCTGAAGGCCTTTTCAAATTATCATATTAAAAATGAAAAAATAAGACAACTCAATAATCTATTTCCTCTCATTTTTTTTAAAAAAAGGTAGTACCAGAGGTTATGCATAAAAAAAATAAATACATCCATTAATTAATTCTGCTCTAAATCACTATATATTTTATGTGTCATACATATTCAGGAACCACAGCATTTAACAATGTTTTTTTATAGGGCTACAATGCTTTGATCCAAGCTGTTGGGAGGGATAAATCCTTAACTTGATATTATTTTAATGTTGAAATAGATACAAAGTCCTCCTTAAATTGACATTATTGAAACAAAAGATTAGGCCTTTAAAGTTTTATCATAATCACATTGTAAATTATGCATGACTGCTATTGTAGATAGATTCTATTCAGGCTGCTGCAACAACATTGCTGTAAAAGAACATTCCACATTTGCTCTCTGATAAAAAATTTTACCATTCTCTACTTAGTCTCTAACTATCAATCTTTGGCTTTTATATTATATTCATATTTCCTTTATTTTTTCTTCTGTTTGTAAATTTTTGGTGCCATTGCACATGGTTTTTAGCAGGTGCTCACATGAGGAAATTATAATCATTTCTAACCTACATCTGTCAAGATTTTAGGCTTGCAATATGTCGAGCTTGGTAATTACTCATTCTTTAAAACTGGATAGTTTTCAGGGGTCAAAACCCACCATGCTGTCACTGAAAATTGATCATCACAATTTCAGTAATTTCAAGGCCTGTCATTTTGTTGGGTAATTTGTCTCTGGTAAAATAACAAATTCTTTACAAAGGTGAAAATGCCTAATCTGTGCATTTTTAATACAACAGGAGAATCTTCAAACAGCATCACACTCTTTTCTTTCATCTTTATTAACAGAATATAATAGCAATCACTGCACAGCCATAAACACATAGAGATCCACCCCAAATGGTACTTTTCCTCTTTCTTTAATAGAGTATTTTTAAAGAAATAGTTTTGAAAGTGAATTAAAGGACACTTGTCATTTTAAACAAACTCCTAAGACAACCACAACACACAGACAAATCAGTTCTTACTGGATTGCCCCTGTGTGTGCGTCCTGTCCTGTCCTTGTGGGGTCCTGGGACGCGAAAGTATGGGGTAAATGTGGAGGCATCAGGGAGAAGTCACTGGGATGGCTGCAGGGAGGGGGTTCGTGATGGCTAACTGTGTCAACTTGGCTGGGCCACCAGTCCCAGATATTTGGTCAAAGAAGGTATTTTTTTTTAGATGAGATCAACATTTAAATCAAGAGATCTTGAATAAAGAAGATAGTCCCCCACAATGTATGTGGGCCTCATACAATTAATTGAAGGCCTTAGAAAAAAGTCTAACCTCCCTTAAAGACTCTGCCAGCAGACAGCTTTGGACTTGAACTGCAGCATCAACTCTTCTCTAGGCCTCCAGCCTAGTAGCCCAACCTCCAGATTGTGAACTTGCCAATCTCTACAATTGCATGAGCCAATTTCTTAAAGTTTTGGTAGAAAGACAGATGCATAAATGCATACATACACACACCTTTATATATGTTGTGTTTCTCTGGAGACCCTGCAAACACAGGGTTCTTCAGAGATGAGGTGGTACCAAGGAGCAAGAAGAACAGCCCAAATCACACATCTGCACATGGCAAGCACACTACCTAACCTCTGTCCTCTCACCCTGCTCCCTTCTTTACACCAAAATGTAAAGACTTCCCACAAAGGAGTGTCCTTGAGACCTCAGGAGAGCTGAAAACAGGAAGTAGAAAATCAAGTTGGCAGATTTTATCGTCCTGGAATGACTGGGACCGAGATTACCTCCCAGGTCACTTCTGGAAGCTCTAGCCTCTGTGCTGTTGCCCTCTCTCCGAGGAGCACCCACTCTTGACTCCCCATCTCTACTCACTGCTGCGGAGCTGGCAGTGAGCCAGCAGTAATGACAGCAGAATCTGAGGATGCTTTGGGTTTTTATGGTAAGACTTTCTCTTTTTATTAAAATGATATATATAACTTTTACAATGGAAAAATATTTCTGTGGCAACCGGTCAGAAATGTGTTCCTTTCCTAGAGACTGTTGAAGCCACCCTGTGGTGTGCCGGGGCGCAATGGCAGGCAGGCAGCCTTCCTATTGCCCTATGCCAAGCCTGACCCTGGGACAGGGACTTGCTGAGCTACAGGAAGTCACAGAGATAGGAGCAAGGGCCAAGGGCCAGCCTATTCCCCACTTAAGGTTTCCACAGAAATTAGCCCATCACAACACCTGGGCCACCTCAGCTCTATCCTGTATCCTGAGAATAGGGCCTGGGCCTCGGAGGCTTTGATCATGGCAGAAAATGGTCCCCAGATAGGGTGGCTGGCACAGGGCAGTACTGTTGTCTCCACAACAGGATCTCTCCAAACCCCTCTGAACTACTAAAGCCACACAAACACCCCTAGTCCCCAATCTCCTTAACACTTGGGGAGGTTTCTAGAGGATTAAGTATAAAAAATATTTGGGGGGAGGAAAGTGTATATATCACACAGAAATTACTCTGTATCTTATGGAAAGAGCTAAAGCAATACAGAAAAGAAATACACAAAGGAAAAATTGGGAAGGTTTGCAAAGAATTGCAGTCAATAATTTTTGCCAACATCTCCAAAAACTTTCTCTCATGAATTTTTTTTTTATAGAGAATAATCTAGGATGATCTTTTCTTTGGGCAAGGGAAAGAGGTATCAAGTTACTTTATTAACAATGTTTAGAAAAGGTAAGGGTGACCTCAATATGTATGCACTGCATTGGCATCAGAGAAGTCCCCTGGGGCTACAAAGAAGCCAACCTAAGGCTGAGCATTAGTTCGCTATCACTACCTCCCAGGGTGTGCCTGTCAAAGAGATATTCCACTGTGTCAGATTGGGGGCTCTATCTTGCATGATTTGGGTTACTTCTGCAGTGATACTTTGAGAAGAAAAAGGTTCATTCATTTAACCAGCCCTGGTACCCACAGCCCTGGGGAAGGTCATGTGGCTGCCTCCTACGAACCTTGGACAAGCGCCCTGGGTCAGAGCCTGACTCTGAGCTGCAGAGGCCTAGGGAGATACATTTTTGGAAATTTGAGAAAAACTTGCATTAATGAAGCTAAGAGACAGACCTATCAACCAGAGTGGCAAATTGTCCACGTAAGGGAGATAGCACTGCCTATGGACAGATTCTAAAGTCCTCTAGCCAGGGCACACACTTGCTGCACCTACAAAAGGACACCACACAGCCCCACACGGAGGCGAGTCCGTATGAAGATACTGGACCCCTGGACTCTCAGGCCAGGATCCTCTCTCTAGGCATGTGAGGGGGAAGCCTCTCTAGCCAGCACAGAGTCGGCTGCCTCTGCAGTGTGATTCGATGCCAATGGCTGGAGCCACGGCAGGCCACTTGGTCAACTTGCTGGGGAAACTGGTCGGTGCTAGCCTCAGTAAAGACCTGTTGCTGAGAATGGATTGATCACTTGCTCTGTGCCAGAGATGACACCTCCTGCTGTGATCAATACTGTCTGTAAAAATATCAGTGCAGTCAATCAAGCTAGAGTCCAACTTTTGACTCAATCATTCTACCTCTAGGGAGCTCTGGTTGACTTCTGTTTGGATTCAACATACGTGAGTTCATAAATCAGTTATCATTCAACATTTTTTTGTGCACACATTATGACAAGCACTGTTATGAACTCTGGGGTCACAGTGGGGAACAAAAGACAGAAAAAGTCCCTACTCTTACAGACTTCACATTCTAGTTAATGCAGCAAAAGGAAAAAAAACAACTATAAACATCATGGGAGATAAGTGCTAAGAAGAAAGGAGCTAGAGAAAGAGATCTCACAGAAAAGGTGGCCTCTCCAATGAAGTGACATTTGAAAAGAGGCCTAAAGAGAGTGAAGGAGACAGTCATTCAGATATCTGGGTGAAGAGCATTGCAAGCAGAGGGACGTGCCAAGGGCTGAGGCGGCAGGGGAGAGGGGAAGAGCAGAGGAAGCAGCGGCAGTCCAGAGGCAATGAGCTTCATGGAGCTGACTCCAGCTTGTATCTGAGTGGCCTGGGCAGACCTGAAGGGTGTTAGAGAGAGGAGTCATCTGAGCCACCTTTCCTTTTAATTGATCACTGTTGCCTGCCAGGAGACTGCTTCGGGAGGCTAGTCTTCTTCATGAGCTCTGTGAGGACGACTCGCCATAGCAGGTACTGAAAGGGAGTACCATAAGGAAACGGCAAGGCCTAGGGGAGCATTTCAGGGCTGCCCTTGTTCTGTGGCCATAGGTGAGTTACTCAGGCCTCTCCACATCTGTGTCTTCATCTATACAATGATAAAACATCAGTCCTAACCTCCAGGGAATTACAGTAAGGATTGTTGAATACCGACAAAGATTAAATATGTTACATGTGCCCAAGGCATAGTAGGTGCTCAACTAAATGCTAGCTGTAATTATTATTTTGACTTACAGAGCCCAAGCTTGACAAATTATCTTCTACTCACTGTGTTCTCTGCATGTGTGAACATAAGATTGTCCCATTGAGGAAATACACCCCTCAGAGGATGAAGTTTGACCAATTTGAACAATATATTTATTTCTGATCCCTTTTTCCACTAACCTGGCTGATAGAAGAATTATGCTCACTTATTTAAACATGGGGACCAATTTAAATGCATGCGTATCTAACTCCACGTATATTATATCACATGGAATTTAAATGAGTCTCCACAGATGGCAGACCCAACTTATTATGATCATCAAAATTTTCCAGTCAAAAATGTCATTTGTCTCTATTAAAAACATTCTCCTTTATTAAAAACATTCATTTCTGTACAAGTGTATCCATCAAAATCTGCAAGGGAGAATATTCTGTTTTAACAATTAATTGAAAATGTGTGACAAAGTTTTTAGGGTGTTCAACTTACAAATCATATCAGATTGATATTCTCTTACCTCCTGCAAAAACTTTTCACTGATTTGACTGAAGTGGTGTCCTGGGGGTTTGATCCCAGATACCATCAATCCAGGACTGAAGACCCGTGGTTTCTGCAAGTCTGGCCTGAACTTCTCGTAGAGGCCGGCAGCTGGCTTCAGATCACCACCTGCCACCTTCTCCTCTTTGGGAAGAGGTGTGTTACATGTGGGCGGAGTGTAAGGAAGCCCCACTGGGACCAGTGAAGTGTCCACCTGGCTGAGGGCCTGCGGACTCCTCCTGATGTAGGTGATGATTTTGGGCCTCACGTGCTTCGGCTTGGGTAAAATGATGGGCTTGGGTTCTGTCCTTTCTTCTGTTCTTTCCACCTGGTGGTTCTCCAGTCCCTCCTGTGCAGAAGGTGTATCCTCAGAATGTGTGGAGACAGACTTGGGGATCACACTGGGGCAGGTGTTCTTATCAGGCACTTTCGGGGGGGTGTTCAACAACCACAAGCTGTCAGTGGGAGGTGGGGCAGCTGAGGGTGACTCCACATCTGCACCCAACATACTCGAGTCCTGGAAACTGGTACTGGGTAGTGCTGGCTGGTGGGCTGCATTCAGAGTTGTCTCTGGGTATACAGAGGTTGGGACACCAAGAAGACAAACTGTTTTTGCTGGGGAACTTTCTGTCTTAACTGTATTTTCTAGAAGATTCCTATTTTCAGCAATACATGTAGTGACTTCTTTCCTTTCTCCTGCTTCTGAGCTGCTGCTTTGAGGGTTAAGGGGCTCAGGGACCCCAGTTTTGCTCTCTCTAACAGAAGAATCTGAAGTAAAAACTGTAGCACTGTCCCTGCTCCCACTGCTCAGCACCCCATTCTCCTCACTGACATCTGGGGGCCAGCTGTCAGATGGGGCATTAGGAATAAAAACTACATGACCATCACCTGGTGACATGCTGCTGTGTGAAGCTTCACCCAGTTTCCTAGGTGTGCTTGGTGAAATTTTGCCAAGGGGCTGATTATCAGCAGCTTGCAAGGAAGCAGGGCCAGGTCTGGGGGTGCTCTGAAGAGAACACTGCTCTCCCATATGGACGGCATTCTTGTCCTGCACACTCCTGCCTCCTGCCCCACCAAGCAGGTGGATGCTGCTGTGGGGCAGACTGCTGGCTGCCCTGGGGGTGGCTTCTTGCTGTGCTTCCCCACCCAGCTCCTCTCCATCTTGGAATAACACACCATCTTCCGTGGGGCATCTCAGACACTCGGCCTGGGCTGACATTAATTCCTGTGTGGCCCAGGGTGGGCCAGATTCCAGCTCCAGCCTGGGCTCTCCCTTTTCCTGACCTAAGTGTATTTCTGGCTTACTTGGGACTGCCTTGGATGTTGAAGTCGGAGCACAATGTGGATGGGCAGAACGTGAAGTGCTGTCATTGCTAACTCCTGGTGTACACGCCCCCTCCAGCTGTGGTTCTAAGCAGGTTGTCTCCTTGGTTTCTGAGGTAGATGGTTTAGGATGATGCACACTCTTTCCCTCTGGGATGATGTCCACTGGAGGAAAAGCTGTCTGTGGGAGGTGGGCTGTCACTGTCTCCTGTGGCCCCTCACCATGCTTGGGCATATGACCCAGGGCTTCAGGGAAGTCCAGTGGGGAAGGCTGTAAACGTTGTGGAGTCAGGCTCCCAGCATGCTCCTTCGTGAGCATATCCACTGCAACACCATAGCTGCCCGCCCTTTCCAAAGCATGCCTTCTCAGTTCCTCGTTGTCAAGAGTCTTTGCCAATTTATCCTTGGGAGCATGCCAGAGAATTTCAGTGTCCCTTGGAGTCAAAACATCTGGACTGGCCTCACCCATAGCATTCCTCCATCCTGCCAGACTTGGTCCCTGGACAGTCCAAGAGGTATGCAGGAGAGCTGTGCCTCTCTGCACTGTACACTCTTCATTTAATTCCCCGCGAACAGTTGAAGAGAATTTAAAATCTTTCAGGCTGCTGGGGCCAGCCTGCAACCCCTTCCCAATTCCCTGAAGTGGGTGAAATTCCTTATGGAGATAGGTACTATTTTCTGGTGCACGTGAATTTGCATTTCCAGTTCCATCTGTCAGATCACACGTGTGAGACTCATCATGGGAGGGACTGACCTCCACCATGATTTGATTGGCATTTGTATCACCCACATGTAGGAGACTTTCATTGTTATTTTTCGCCCCCTTTCTGTTGTCCTGCAACTGAGTGTAACATGATTTCTTAGGAGCCAATGGGACACTCATCTTCCACCATCAGCAGTGGCTGCTCACCATGAAGTCCTCCTGGACGGAAAAGGGCTTCCTCCAAGCTGCTATGGGATTAACAGGAAATCCTTAAGCTGTGTGTTGCCGCCTGATTATGCCACATTGAGACACTGCTTTAAATCATTTCAGGACAGTTTTAAAACCAAATCTTGTTATATAGCAGGATGATTTCTCTGGTAGGGGCCTGCTGAAAAAGAGCCAATTAGTCCATGAGACCTAGAGAGAAATAGAAATAAAATCATGTTAGATTGACAAATAGAAATTCTCAGGGGAAAAGGGAATGGTAAACACAAATCTATTCATCACTTTCATACTATCATTTCACTCACTTAATCCATGTTTCTCAAAAACCTTTCAGATAGGGGCTCCTGCAGGCCAAATATGGTGAAATTGAAACTTCAAAATGATTAATGTTAGAAATGGATGATAAACACATTAAATCTTATATTTGAATTTTAAAAATCCACAAGTCCATACTGATATTGATTAAAAAGGTAGAGGAGAAAAGAGGCTCTTCTTCACAGAAGACTACCTACTAATACAGGAAAAGTGATATAATTAGAAAAATAACCATTTTGACCAGAGTCATAATTAATTATCTTGGGTGGGGGATGCCAATGGTTGCTAAAATCCCTGGGTGAAAGAATGTTGAGAAACAATATTTACACAATATCAAGGTTACCACCCTCCAGAATACTTTATTTCTTACAAAAGAAAAATGTTATCTTTACAATGGAGAAAACTGGTGGCCACCTCCCTAATTAAATGATCAAATTTAACATCATCAGTAATGGAAACTGACATCAGTGTTCCCAAGGTTAGGCAGTTCTCTGTGCTTCATAGCACCTGGTGGTATTCTTGCTATAAATGTAAATGTTCAACCTGAATTTCATCATGAGGAAATAATCAGACAAATTCAAACTTATAGTTGTTTTACAAAATACTTGGCCTCACTTGGCCCAAAATGCAGACAGATACCTAAATGCAGTGCATGATTCTCAACTGGACCTTGGGTTGTTTTCTTTTTTAAGTTAGTAAAGTACATTCTTGGGACAATTAGACATTTAAATAAAGACTGTATATTATGTAAAGGTATTTTATCAGTGTTACCTTTCTTGGATGTATAATAGTATTGGGGTTACATCAGAGATAATCATTGGTTTTAGAAGATTCATGTTTTGAACATGATATGCTTCTTGACATGTTGTCTGTAACTTACTCTCAAATGGTTCAGCAAAGAGAAAAATGTATATGTGTACACATGTGTGTGTGGAAAAGAGAGACAGCATGCAGCTATAACAAAACTAACTTGAAAATCTAGGTGATCCACTCTACTATGCCCATAACTTTTGTATAGGTTTAAAATTTTTTAAATAAAATGTTGGAGGATTCTATTCCAAACTGCAAGGCCTGCATGATCCAGTCCTATACCCATCTCTGGCCTCCTCCTCACTAGTCACCCTCTCGACTCTAGGCTATAGCCACAGTGTCCTCATTCTGTACAGTACTATGTTCCTCCTTCCCTGCTTCAGGGCCTTTGCACAGACTCTTCCATTTAAATTGAATGTGGACTCTTCCCCAAGTAAGTCCTCTGTATTCTTCAGTTTGCAGTAAAATAATACAACTTCCTCCAGGAAGCCTTCCTGATCCACTAGAATAGATTAGGCCCTTCTATGATGAGCTTTCATAATATCCTATAATTTTACCTTTAAAAAAAACTTCAGATGTGCAAGACACTGAAGACAATATTTTTAATACTTAGCATATGCATCGGGTCCTTAATACAAATGAATAAATGACTGAATGAGTTATAAAAATCGATGTTATTTCTGTTCTTATAGAGTTTAAAATCCAATACAGTATTTAAATTTCTGTCAAAGTGGACTCATAGATCATCTGTAAACCATTTGATTAGATGCTAACATTGTTTTACCACACTATCAATGCATTCTACTCAGCCCTGGATAGGAGAGTTAAAAGTAACAAGGTTCTGCCTCATCCACAATGCCCCAAATGAGGATTCAAAGTCAATACCCTTCCATACCTTCCTCCTCATTTCTGCAAACATATGTGAGCTCGTGCATCTGCACACATGTACATGCACACACACATCACCTGGAAGACTCTTGTGATGTTTTTACTAAAATAGGTTACATGGCAACCCACTTGGCTTCCCTTCATCATTGTTTAATATATTGTTTCATATATTCATACATAATAATGTTATATATATACTATATATGTTATAATATATATGTTATACAACAAAATAATGTAATGAACAAAACACAAAGGATGGAAAAGTCACCAATACCTTGCAGCTACCTCATGCTCCTCTCCATCCCTCCCCCACCTTCCCAACTTAATTTTTCACTTGACAACCTGCCAAAGGCATCCCTAAATGCTCAGCTGACAGAGCTCTCTTTTCATTTCTTTTCTTTTGCATCTAAACATAAGCATGTACTTTTCACATAAATAAGATCATTTCCTATAAGCTGGTTTCGTGTCAGAAATCAAAAAGGAGAGAAAGGTCACACAAAACAGGGAAAGCAAATTTAAATTCAGTTTCTTTTTATTTGGCCATTCTTCCCCTCTCCGCAAGACACATTAACATCCTAATCTAGGTCATTCCCATGTTCATGTAACCCTGCCCACATATATATACCCACACACAGGTGTGCACTTCTGTTTCCCTGACACACTGCTCTTCTGTTCTTCCTATGTTACACTCACGGCCCCTTACCTCCCTATGTCCTTCATCCCTGTCTCCCTTATTTTCTTCTCCTTCTATGTCTCCTTCCAGCCTAACTTCAGCAAGCCAGTGGTACCCCAGGCCTAGGCCTGACCCTAATATCAAGCCTAATCAAGGTGCTGTTATTTTGATCCCAGCCTTGGTTCCTTGGCCACAGAGCAGATTTTCAAGGAACCCCATTTCTGTACTCAGATTCTTTCCTTATTTAATTTTAAAAATGTCCTTCTTGAAGACAGACATGTCTTTTAGGCACAAACACGAAAGGTACGCAGGAAAATTGGTAAGACAGCAGTTTAAAAATACTGTGCTCCCTGGATCGGGAAACAGGTGTCCCAGAAACTCCACAGACATAAGCCATTTACAGAAAGGGGCATCTGTAATTCTCTTGGGGCAGAATTAAAAGCATGAAACTAAGCTCTCTTTGGTTTGAATTGTCAAGAGTGGGAGAAAGAAACAAATGAATTCTTCTCCATAGTCACCACACAACCTCTTCATGTGCATATAAATCACCTCGTTAATTCCATATCATCAAATAAAATGCCAAGTACTATATAGTCATTACTAAAGTACACTAACTCAACCCTAGAAATTCATAACAGGCTTTTAGCATCCATGGATAGTACCATAAAAAATATTCTCATTGAACTTCCTTTTACTGGTCTAGGGCCGTTGTTCTATCTTACTCATTTTTCATTGGAAATGATCTTTTCATATGTGGAATTTAAAAATAAATAAATAAATAAACAAAACAGAAAAAGACCCTTAGATGTACAGAACAAGCTGATAATTGACAAAGGGGAGAGTGTGGAGGGATAGGAATAAAAATTTAAAATATTAAAATAACTGAAAAATTGGAAAAAAAACTGTCAAACATGTTGCTGAAAAAATGTTATCACCTCTCATCCAAAAGAGAAAGTGAAAGTGAAAAAAGAAAAGAAGTCTGATCTACCACGACATGTTCTACATACTAACTACCATTCTCCTAAGAATCACTGCTTATTTTTCTCAGTACTCATAACTCATCAATCACAAATGCTTTTTAAAATCTGGCATGGGCTCCACATCATGCTCACTGCATGTAATTGGAGCACTGCACTCTCTCCTTGCTAACAAACAAAATTGTATTTGCCCACCTTTAATAATTATGCATATCTTTAGCTGTCCCCAGCTCACAATCTCTAGTGATGGTTTGACCATCTTATCTAGAGCTTTTCGGTTGAATGCAAAAACATTTCTGAATCACTAAGCAGACTGATAGCATCTATATGCTCAGATACAATCTCTTCATCCATCTTGCACTTCAATTTCCTGTTACCATGTCTGTTCTGTCCAGTACGGCGTGAAAGGCATTCTTGGACAAAGAGGAATTCAGCAGGTCTACCATCCTCATGCCATCCACTAACATGGCTGTGAGTGAACCTGGCTGAGTGACAGGTGAAAATCCAACTTCTCAGCTTGACATTCAAGGTCCAATGAACACTGGGCTTATATGTTTCCAGATTAATCTCCTTGACTCTTCTACTTAAAATACACCTCCCTATCCAATAGGGAGCTCCACCTTCTGAGCTCAAAGGGCAACTCCTCCATGAAGACTTTGCTAAATTTTCTCCTCCCTAACTGCCCTGGTGCAGAAGGAGCTGGATATTGTCTCTTCATATCCTGAATCCCCAAATCTTTCCTTTGGCACTGACATACTATGTTTTTTAATTATAGAGATGTACATCTTATTTTATTATAGTTTAGTGTCTTTCTATTACAGACACATGTGTCCTACTTTTATTATAGCTACATGTGTCTTATTTCCTTTATTAAACCATGTAAGTGCTCACTAGGCTGGAGGGTACTAGATCAGATATTTCCTGTTTCCCACACGGTGTCTGGGACAGCAGTCCGCACATCATAGGCACTCAGGATAAAGCTATCCCCTCCCAACTGGAGCTCAAAATGGCAAATGTAGACACCACTTTCAATACAGCATAAGCCCTATTTCTTTTTCAGTCTTCTAAGATGCAGATTATTAAGCCACCCTTCCCAATTGCATAACTGGTGAAGCACCCTTCCCTCTCACCCCAGGGCAGCTGCCCAGAATGTCCAGGGGAAATGATATGGAAAAATACATTCTGATCATCATTGTTTGATTTATTTTTGTCATGATATTTATTTAATCTATTTAGAAAATCAACTAAAGAAAGCTTGGGGGATGGATTTTTATGTTATCAAGAGGGGGCATGGGTTTTAAAAATTTAAAAATACTATGTACAGCCTTCCACAGCTGCCAGGTCCACTGTGTAATACTTTAGCAGTTGGGAGTTTTCATATAAATATTCCAGATAATATAAATGCAATCCCATCCAACTTAACAAAACTTACTTATCAAAGAATCTCCAATGGCAGCTCCTACCATGCAACAAATTATCCTTTAGAAGAACTTTGGTTACAGAAAAATGCATAGAATATGATCCAA